TTTGAATGAAATTTGATACATAGGCACTTGGGATAAAGGAAAATCAAACGCCAGTTTCAAAATTTTATTTTGCGCATGCGCAGTGTCAACTTTTTTATCTATGGAACTATTTAAGTGAAATGTGATACTTAGGCGCTTGGAACAAAGGAAAATCTTAGTTTATTAGTTAGTTATAGTAAATTAGTTTTAAAATTTAGGTTTGCGCATGCGCAGTTCCAACTTTCTTATTTATAAAAGCATTGAAATGAAATTCTTCTCATAAACTGAAATTGAAGTAGCACGTCAACAATGGATTGCCCATGTGCAACGCTATTTTTCATATTTGTGGCCGGATTTTTACGATTTTAACAGAAGTTGCATCTTACAAATGGGAAATGAATGCAAGTGGAAATGCGCTTTATGTAAATCGTTTACGATTACTTTTTAACTTGTTACTTCTGCATCTGTCGATCGAAGTTTGATTAAAAAATCGAGTTTGAGGTTCTTTTGCACCTCGGGTTCGTCCGAGGTGAATGATTTGGATCATTCGACCATAGTTCGACCTGTATTGAAAACAAAAAGTTTACATGATAGGCGATACATGTTGAACAATTATAGTAGCAAATGGCGTCACGTGAAACTGTTGATAAAGGTGTTGTTGCGGAGGGGGGTAAAATAATTGTGAGAAAAAAAGGAATTACCTGTTGGTTGCTGAATCATAAACTCACAAGATGAAATTAAGACCAGCCGGTATACAATTATTTTTAAAAGCGGGCACGAGTTGTCGCCGTATCGAGTCTTTCTTTAGAACTGTCTTCTTCCACTTCGCTCATCTAACAGATACTTATATACTTAGGAAGTGGGAAGATTTTGTGGGAAATAAAATAACAAGTATAAATTGTGCACAACTCTTGTGCAGATAAAGCGCCTTTTTTTTAAACCGAAATAGCTTTTGTTTTGACATCACCAATGGATATATTTCTTGCAGACGTATCAATCTTCCTTTGTGGGTACCCTCTTCCGACAATCCGTTCTTGAGGTATAAGGGAATATACCCGATCGCGATAAGAGGTCGAGGAGGAGGGCTATGGTTGGTAGTAGTAGTACCATGAAGGTTAAAACTAGTTCCACCACTAAAGGCATGCGTATACAAAATCTGAGACCAATTGGTTGTCGTATGTAAAAGTTATGCAAGTTTTACTTTCAAAAACAGCATCTCAGTAAATAATTCGCGGGGGGGGGGGGGAGGACCTTTTAAACAGCGAAATTTGATGGCCGTCTGGAACACCTTCAAGGTATAGGCTACCCACTGCAAAAAATTCCAGGACTCTACAACCATTCCCCTAGAAGTAGTTCAAAACGGTAGAAGTGGGTCCGGACGGACAAAACGCAAACAATAGCACATTTTTTTTAATTCTTAAAAAATGCGCTAAAAAATAAATATAGGTATTAGTACAAAAATAGGAGCAGCTAATAAAGATACTATACCTACCATGTATTAACTTCCATATGATTTTCAATTTTTCCCTCCCGTGTACGGATTTTTACGTCCGTGGTCCGTCAGTCATTAAACTTGTGTAATTTTTGCGCCCCTTCCTGTTTGCGACGTAAGCGGCGGGTTACACCGCTTACGCTTAAAGCCGGCTCTGTTGGCTGGAATATCTTCAAAAAGAGTATTATAAATACCTTCGATTTCATATTTCATAATATCAAACGCAATCAAAATTTCCTTTTGAGCAGTTAACTCATCCGTATAATCTAATCTAACAAATGTAAAGTATGTGGCGATAAAAGCCGCGACTCGGCACCCGCCAGTTCCGTCTTCGAACAGCAAACACCATCTAGTAGCGATCAATTACATTATAGTGGAGGGTACGCCTACATATATGACTTGCCTCAATCGTTAAAGTAGTGTGATCTTTTGGTTTGAATTTGTATCATAGACAAAGCACATTTAGATGGACATGTTCTATAGTACCAATGAGGATGAAAAAGTGGCGCTAAGGTGGATGTAGGGGTAACTAAATCACTGAAGAGGGAAATTTGAATTAATAACAATCTCAGGGGGGGGGGCGGGTGCGGTACCCCTACTTGGGTGTTTGGTTTTATTTGCTGCTTGCAATTTAAATTTCAGTGTAAATTCAGATAAAATGAACTGTACACTACAATTTAAATCATACAATTGTTTCTGAATGTAATGAGAAGGTGAAATTGAGCACATCAAAAATTAATATTTATTTATTGACAAAAATCATCTGTCATATCAATATAAATACAAGATATATTACATCAGGATTAAATTGATGAAGTTTAGGAATAAACAAACATTAATCATAACCTTTTAGACCAATACTAACCTATTACAATACAAAATACTGCAACACTTCATTAATATACAATTTGTAACAAATATACTTAAGAATACAAATTTAAATGCTATACTTTTTTTTGTTTTTTAATTTAGATAAATATTTCCTATGTGCCTCTAATTTTATTGCATCAATTGTGGTCATATTTGGCTTAGTTGCAAGTAACCTAACAAACCTTTCATCATTGCCATTTAAAATTTTGTTCACTTGCTTACCCCAAAAATAAAAAATAACTTTCACAATTAACTTAACAACATGTAATCCTAAATCAGTATGCTTTTCACACTTAAGAAAATCAAAGTTAATGGTTTCCATTATAAATGCAATTAACGACCGATTTAGTCCATACTTGTGGCAATGACGTGGAATTAAATAAAATAATCTGGAACAAGCCTGACTTATTACAAGGTACAAGTATGTCCCAGGTCTGAACAAGCGGGAATTGCTATATTCTCTTGCCTCAATAACATCCATCGGAACATTACCATATGAAGTGGTTAACATGTCCTTGCAAACTGAACAATTTGCACTTTTTGATATTCTGTTACCTACATATCCTGCTACATACGCTAAAGTAGCTTTCGCAATAGGACGTTTTTTTGAATGTGATACAATAAAACTAGTCTCAATCGTAAAATTATTTTCTAATAAGCAAATGCCGGGAACTTCTTCTCCAGTAATAAATGATCTTAAATTATCTAAAGCGCCAACAGTGAAATCGTCTTCACAATTAGAAGAAGGAGAATGGCTAGACATGAAATTATTTACAATTAAAGCCTTAAATGAAGTTATAAAATGACGAGCATCTGGAGAAATATTTCTCCTTCCATGACTTCTCATACTAGCAAAAAAATTTTCTAGGCAATCTTGATTTAAAGCTCGAGGTAATATATATTGCATCTTATTTATCAGTAATACTTTCTTTAGGTATATGAAGGCTTTTAATGTTTTAACCAAATTTAATATTGAGGGCACTTTACAAAATATTTTTTTTTGTGAATCAAAAAATTTCGCATTTTCCAACACTCTAATTGCATCACGCCAAAATTGTTCATGATCAGATGTCATTGTCAGTCCCCCTTTAAGAGGTTTACTTAGTGGGGCGATTTTATTATTTCCGTTAAGGCTATCAAATAACTTGTCCATAAATAGTATAAATGTACCAGTTTGTGTTGCCTCCAATGGTAAATTGTGCGGAGTACGTGTATCTAAAAAAAAGTATATATACACAAATGATCATAGATTCCAATTGTAACATACCCCAGCCAGCAAAACGTTGTAAATGTGCACCAACTGCATGACTAAATAGTTGAGTCATGTAGGCAACTTTCATTTTATTGATCTTCTTGCCAATCACATGACGATCTGTAAGTTTTGGCAATAAACGTGTATCTTCTGCAGTGTCCAAAAAATATAATTGTTCGATGTGCTCCCATTTTGCAACATGCTCCACATCATTCATTGTAAAATGCAAATTTTTCAATAGTAAATTGTTGCGAATTCCTTTAAACAAGTGGGGTACATCATATAATGGAACAATTTCTTTATTATCGACTAGAAATCCTATATATTTGTTCTCAATGCCATTTTTCAAGAGATGTTCATTTGTTTCTTTAATCAGTAAATTTACTGCTGATGAATTTGCACTACCTTGATCGCAAATAGTTGCCACTACCTCAAAGCCAATATTGTGACACTCCTTTATAATTTCAACAATCATCTTTTTAAGTTGCAATGATTTTACTGGCCCATTGCTAAATGTAAATGATAATGCTTGCTTCCACTGCCGATATACTCCCTTGACCATAAATACATTGGCATGATCAGCCAAATGTGGAAATCTCTCCTTTCCAAAATCTTCTACGCCATCATAACAATCAGCTCTTATGTTGTACGACAAGGAAGGAGAAATTGACATCTCATCAAACACAAGGGCACATTTTCTCTCATTAATAGAAAGTTTCTGCACAACATCCTTCAAACTAGCAAATATCTGCTTGTTAACTCCAGGACGAAAAGGAACCTTATTCAGCATATTTAGCAGAGTGTGTTTTGATGGGAGGGAAAATATTTTGGACAAAATCTTATACCCCTTGCTACTTGATTTTAGCACAGTTAACGCTAATAACTTGTCGTCTATAGTGTAACGTCTTGCCTTAGGGGGTAAAGATTGGTTACGAAGTTGCTGGAGAATAAATTTATAGGTAGTTTCATTAATCACATCAGCAAAATTGGCAAAATTTGGATTTTTAGCAACAGCCTCAGCGTGCATCAATCGCTTTCGGTAACTTTCCCGTTGGATATGAAATTTTGCGGCTTTGGTATTTAATTGTGTAACCATTTTATAAAATGTTTGACAATTAGGTGTTAGTTGAATTTGTCTGGTCACATTCACAGCTTGCAAAATCCTTTTTTTCTTTTTTATATCTGTAACAAATTATATTCACGTGAAACATATAAAAATATATCTTTAAATCCAAGATTTATACTAGCTCATCAAAGTTCCTGGCTTGTTACTGGCTACTACAATTAGCTAGTAATTCAAAAATGTCAATCATGCAGAAAATTGTAAATGGTTCAGTAAGCACCAGAAATTTTAATCAGATTGTGTAAAAATTAGTCATAAATATAATATATAGGTTAAAAAGTTAAATACCTTGCGGTTTTTTTATTGAGGAAGATATGGGTACAGTTGTTGTTGCGGTCACTTCCATGGGAACATTTTCGGTGGCTTCAAATGCATTTCGTGTGGGTACAGTTGTTGTTGCGGTCACTTCCATGGGAACGTTTTCTGTGGCTTCAAATACATTTCGTGTGGGTACAGTTGTTGTTGCGGTCACTTCCATGGGATCATTTTCTGTGTCTTCAAATAAATTTCGTGTGGGTACAGCTGATTCTACTACCACATTGCCTGCGTAACAATTAATTAGACATTATACATATATTACTACATTAATTTACATACCTAATATGTGTAAAGTGGGCACAGCATCTCGACGAAGGCCCCTTCTGGTTCCAGGGACCACATATTCCGGAGCAAAATGTTTCTGACAAACAAACTTTGTATCATATACTTGATGCGGTTGCAATGCCATTAAATGTGGAACTTTAATATTTTCAATCCATTTCCTTAAAAGATTTAGGTCTTTTGGAAAACGATGTCGTTTTAAAACCTTGTCATCACAGCCAGGTACACAACACTTATTCTTGTACTTTACAGTATTAGCATCCATCATAGCACAATTACCTAAAGACGTCCATTCGTTTATTTAATATTAACTAGTATTTATTGCATAATACCATATTAGTTGAGTTTAATCCTTAACTTAGTCAATTTTCCTACACATTAAAACTGCATAAACACGAACATTAAGTCAATATTTAACCGTTATCTTTTATACGAATTATATTTACCACGTGAAAATACACAGCAAACTTAGGTTAGATTAACAAAACCACGCGCTACGCGTTAAATAAATGACAATATAACTAATGCGCATGTTCAAACATTGTTCAAACCGCTATTAGCGCCCTCCAACGGAAGTAGGGAACGCATTTAGCCAAGACAACACATCATTCCATCATTGTTCATTTAACTTATGTATCTAAATGTGCTTTGTCTATGATTTGTATTTCAGTTTTTGCTTTTCCTTTTAGAAATGTGTGTAGATGTGTAATTTTTTCTCTTTTGTAAATTATTCAATTTAGATCAGGTTCTAGCTGACCGTTTGCGATAAGAACATCCGTTATTGCGTTGCGTAAAGTAAAATTAACTTAGGTTCACTGTAAAGACGTATTATCGCCGATAAGAATACAACAGGTGCGTAGTTTATTTCGAAGCTGGCTTTATTAAAATTTGGTTCTGATTGGCCGTTTGTTTACGAAATCTAAATGGAGGAGTTTATTTTTTATGATAGAAGTAGTGGATCCTTTAAACACGGGAGACAGCGTTTTTCTTTATTTGGTGATGGTTGGAGTGCATGATTTTTGTTACGCGGTTATTTTGGGCAGCCCGATAAAACCGGGAGTCGTATGAAACTGAGAATATATTTTAAACGGGCTCATTGCATAAACACTATGGGTTTCATTTTTATGTAGTGAAAGAAACAAACTACAAAAAAAACTTGAAAAAAATATTGTGAAAGGTCAACTTCATTCTTTCTGCAGAATAACAGATGAATTTAAAAATTAATACGACACAAACAAAACACAAAATGGGAACGAAAATTCTACGGTTCGTGGAAAATGGCATGATTTTGATTCGTTTTGTAGGAACAAACAGTTTCCATCAGTTTAATTACCTTGGGCTTTAATAAACATTTACAATAAACATGGATTTCACTTTATAATTTTAACATTATTTGCAAAAATAAATTTCCAATATTCCTGGGGGTACATTCTATTAACCTACGTAAACAATAAGTTAACAAGCACGACTTTGTTTATATTTGTAACGCATGTTGATCGTTCGTCAGTATAAACGAACCAAGAATTAATTATTCGACATTAATAATGAATTTGCCTGGCAAAAAATAAACAAAGTTAAAATCTTGGAAATTATAAAGTAATTTAACTTAATACTTCGCAAATACCCGTTCTGAACGTGCCGGGTTTAAGAAAATCCGGTCAACGAGTAGAATTCGCAGCGCTAATTCCTTCAGTAGAGCGACAATGTCAAATTGGCTTCTACTATGTCTAATGCTAACCACGAGAAATCCTTAAAAGAATTTACTTTAAGTTTCCGTCAAACAAAAGTAAAAGAAAGAGTCACCTTTCAGTTGAGAATTAAAGTAAAGTCAATTTGCGAATTTAAGTGAAGTAAGACATTTTTCCTCTAGTCTCAAGGGAAACTTTTAATAAAAATTCAAGTATTAATAAATTTTAAAGCATACGATGTTGAAGTGCCCTGTACGTCATTACTTTAAGTTCATTAGTCTCCTTGATGTTTAGAACTAAAACCACAGCACATGTCATGTTAACGTTTTCCGTTTACACCCTCAATTCAAAGCTTTCGGATACCACACTGTGCACATTTGTCTTCATTGCGAAACAGAAACGAGCTTGCCGTTTTTATTATACCTTCAATTAAACCTGTACTTCGTGCCGTAACTCTAAAATAATTTTGCAAGTTGTGGTTCGTTGGTGCCTACTTAATTACTTTGTGTAATATAGTTACCTCGTTTTTATACCTTTGATGTTTTACAAAACTAATATATTTGCGAAATTACACCGTTCGCTTTTTTTGCGTTTTAACCAATTTTGCAGTAAATAAAGGCGCACCGTAACTCATTCTGTAATCTTGTTTTGCAAAGGTTTTTGCCGACGTAATCCACATAAATTAGAATTTAGTAATTTCCAATTAGAATACACAAACACTATTGTGCAATTATTCATTAGTTATTCCCAATCCCCTAAACCATGATTTGTAGAATATTAATACTTTGACTAAATCTATATTGTATGCTGTATAGTAACCAAATTGAATTGAAACACGCCGTATACCCAATTTACGTGCTCTTACGACCTACATGTTTCTTATACCTGACACTTACATTTCGCGACAGCTATTTTGGAAAAGTTATTTGCTATTAAAAAATTCCTTGTGCTTCTCGTTTTGAATTTCCTTGATCCTGTCTTGTTCGTGCAAGATGAGCCTTTACGCGATGTACTTCCAGATAATAAGGCAAAACAAAGTAATAAATAGACCAGGAAAAAGACAGGCCATTTCACATTGTCTAATATGACTTTGGCATCAGGTATAATATAACAGTGTTTGAAGCTTTCGCTGTTAACTCGTGGACTCACTCCGGTTTGGAAAGTTGTTTCTTTTGACAATCAGGCGAAGACACTTTTGATGTCATGGCTAGCTAACGACTATTACTCCAGGCAATGCTCTGCAAGACCATCAAATGCAAGGAGGCTTATTAATGGCAAAAACTGAGGAGGTTGTTGCTGCTCAACCCATGTTCTATTTTGATTACGCCATTACGGCCCTCGAATCTTTGTTTATGAGTGGTTTCAAGTGTAGTACTGACTTTTCATATTCATATTCATAAGGTTCAGAGTCAGTTCCTCTCAATAAAGTATAGGACCCTTTTTAACCTAAGTTGCTTCACCCTCCTCGGTTCCAAATCTCTAACCAAGGAGCTGTTAAAGGTCCTGGACTACCTTGTTGCGGCTGAGCCTGGAATTGATTGGTCACCCAGTCTGTAATCCTGTCCCTGACAAGAGTAGTTGTAGGCTCGGACCCGACGAAGACCCCACCATTTCCTTCTCGAGCCAGCTCGTCCAGCCTTTTCGTTGCCCCTTATTCCGCAGGCCTGCTTGTAAGCCACACAAGCCCCTCAGGTTTGAGGAACGGGATCTCTGAGTTCAGTCACTACTCCCTATCCGAGAGAGTGAGAATTAACGGAGAGGCCATGGCTTCTGCTCCACCTATCGACCTGTCCAAAGGTCCCCTGCATGATCTCTTGCACGGTGTTTAAAAACTTCCCCGTTATAATAGTGGCGAGATCGTCTGTGTCTCCCTGTGTATACGCTCTGTTGCGGAAGAGCCTGTCTAGCATCAGGTACCAGAGCAATGGTACGATGAGCTCATTTCCGTCGTCTCGATTGAGGATATAATGACTCTAGGTGGTGACTCATCTTACGATTGACTCATCCATTCTAAAGCTTTCAGCAGCCTCACATCGAACGTGGCACACCATCGATATCTAGAACTTCAGGAAGACCCTCCGTGTTACCACAGAAGGTCCTCCATGCTCCTCGTCTAGACTTTCGAATATGGTCCTTATACCTGCGCTGAACAATTTTCAAACCTTTCCAGTCGGCAGGCAACTTAGTTCGCATGGCTCTATTAAAGAACCTGCGAGTCGGAGTTCCACCAAGGTGTTCTTTTCGTTCTTCGAAAGGTCTACAGTTTACAGTTGACGCTGTTATGGCGTCGCTGTGACCCCAGCTCACGAACCGTGTAATTTGGCCAAATTTGGCTTGCAGCGCCGGTTGCTGCTTGCATGAGAGGCTGTCTATGATTAGGGCTCTCTGCGGGAGTTTCCCTATTGCTCTGAAAGTCACCGTTTTTAACGTTGTTCTTTAATTGCGACAAGGCTTTGCCAGGGTTGGCAATGTCTTAATATCGACCCTCCTGGTGAATGTTTCGGTGGGTGATTTGCGCAATCATTTTTGGTTATCGGGAGCATTGCGGTTGAAGGTACTCCGATGATTTCTGAGGGCCTAACAGGTGTTATTGGATGCTGTCCACTCGCACCGGACTTTTCCGGAGCTACCGTGGTTTTTTGGGATAAATCGAGTTATGAAGATAACCTGGTTACCTCCGCACATCATGCACAATGGCGCTTACCTTTTCTATAGGACGGACCTGTCAACACCGTCCGGGCTTGGAGGAAAGTTTGACGCGGTAAATAGGGCGCACTCTCCTCGGCTGAGGGATCGAGGAGTCACTCTCCTCGGCTGAGGGATCGAGGAGTCTGTGGTGCTACCTTAATTTTCTAGCGTGGATTTTTAGCTTCTCCGCGAATGCGAGGATACCTACGGACAGTTGAAACTCAACTTTAAGTACAAAATTTAACAATTAAAAAGTTCTTTTTTGTAATGTCATTTATCTACATTGACATTTGCATCGGAAAACTCCTCGATTCTGAGTCTTTCCTTTTTTCCAAGTTTTGTTGTTTTTACAGTTCCTTTTCTTTAAACTCCTTTGGGCCTATTTTCGCATCCTCTTTCTTTTTATGGTGTATCCTTGCCTTTGTGAACAAGAATCGACAAAACAGAGACTTCGACAAAAGGACATTTTCTTTTTTTGTTTTTCTTTTATTACACAGATGTTTGTATCGGAAAATCCCTTCTCGATGCCGGGTCTTTCCTTTTCCAAGTTTTGTTGGTTTTACAGTTCCTTTGTAATTCCCTTTGGGCTTATTTTCGCAATCTCTTTCTTTTTATGGTATATCCTTGCCTTTGTTAACAAGAAGCGATAAAAGGACACCTTCTTTTTTGTTTTTCTTTTATTACACTGACAATTGCATCGGAAAACTCCTCGATCCTTTTTTCCAAGTTTTGTTGATTTTACAGTTCCTTTGCTTTAAATTCCTTTGGGCCTATTTTCGCATCCTCTTTCTTTTTATAGTGTATCGCCTTGTCTTTGTTAACTAGAATCGACAAAAGGACATTTTCTTTTTTTTTTCTTTATTTTCAGGCTAAAATTTCGCTTTTTATATGAAATGGGACAACTTGTCAATTTATTACAATTTTTTTTAATTCATATCCATTCTTTCTACACCCCCCTTCTCCCTATCACTATACTGGCTCATAATTTATGAAAATTGCTACATATTAAGTTTATCACTAATATTATCAAGGATTGAGGATTAAAAAACAAAACTAGCGTATATCAAGATTCATATACTCTTATGATTAAAAGAAATTTCCACTTAAGAACGAATTTTCTTAATACAGTAGGGGACTACATTTTTGTGGGCAGCTTCCGCTGCTTATTGATCTTGTAAACTTTATAAATCATTTCTTGTATCACAAACGTTGCAACCCTTGCTATTGCATATTGGATTTAACCCAAACTAAAACTAATGCTC